GAGCACATGCTCCTAACAACCAGACAGCCTGTTCAATGGTGGGCTTTGCCTGCTCACAACTAAGACTGAACTCAGCACCTTGAGCTGAGCTGCCGCCTGGATGGTTCAGTGGATAGAGCATGCACTCTTAACAACAAGGCTGCTGGGTTCAACTCCCACATGGGATGGTGCCTACGCCTATCTGCAACTAAGACTGAAATTGGCACCTTGAGCTTAGAGGCCACGAGCTGCCAATGGGCAGCCAGATAGCAACTGGCGCCCTCCACAACTAAGATTGAAAAATAACAACTTGGCTTGTCCCCCTCCCCAATTCCCCAACACTGTTTCCCTCCCCCAATTCACCAATTAAAAAAAAAAAAAGTGAGGAAGAAATTAAGACATTCCAAGAGAGTTTGTTATCCCTAGACCTGCCCTTTAGGAAATGCTAACAGGTTACTAGATAATAACATGAAGCCATGTGAAAAAATAAAGATCTCTGTAAAGCTTAATACATGGGCGATTATAAAAGCTAGCATTATAGTAACAATAGTTGTAACTCCACTTTTTGTTTTCCACATAATTTAAGACACTTAATTTTTATAACTCATTAGGTTAAAAACTAGTATTATTGTAACTTTGGTTTGTAACTTACCTGTTGTTATCTACATGATTTAAGAGACTAATGCATTTAAAAGATTTATATTTTGGAGCACAGAATGTATAATGATGTAAACTCATGACATGAACAAAGAGGTGGGGAAGGAGCTGTAAAGGAGCAGAGTTTTTGTATGTTACTGAAGCTAAGATGCTACAAATTCAAGCTAGAGCATTATAACTTTAGAATGTTAAATGTAATCCCTGTAGTAACCACAAAGAAAATAGCTACAGAATATTTTTAAAGGAAATGAGAAAGAATTTAAATGCTTCACTACAAAAAAATCAACTAAACAGAAAACAATAAAGCAGTAACTGAGGGAGAATAAAAGTTATAAGGGATATAAAAACAACAAAATGACAAGCCTCTCATTATCAGTAATTACTTTAAATGTAAATGAGTTAAACTCTCCAATCAGAAATTGATAGAATCATTAAAAACACATGATCCACCCATAGGCTGTCTACAAGAGATCCATTTTAGGTTCAAAGACACAAATAGATTTAAAGTGAAAGGATGGAAAAACAATGCATGCAAATAGAAACCTAAAGGGAACAGGCATGGCTATACTAATATCAGATAAAAAGGCTTTAAATTGAAAAAAAAAAGTTTACAAGAGACAAAGAAAAACATTATAAATTAATAAAAGGGTCAAACAACAAGAACATATAATTACCATTGTCATCTAATGACAGACCATCAAAATGTAAGAAAAGTTGACAAAATTAAAGGGAGAAGGGGGCTTTTCGTTTGAATCCCCCCTCTCTGCGGATCTGCAGAGAGCTTTGGTGCTTTTTCTCTTGCATTTTTGCAATAAAACTGCTGTTTAAACCTTAAAAAAATAAATAAAAGGGAGAAATAGACAGCTCTACAATAATAGTTGGAGACTTCAATACCTGACTTTCACATCCATACAAAATATGAGTAAGGAAATAGAGGACTTAACATAATAAACCAACAAATTTGGTTAATCAATGCAAAAACACAATAAACCAACTAATAGATATATACAGAAACTCGACCCAATAACAACAGCATATATATTTTTCTCAAATGCACATGGGACATTTTCCCAGCATAAACTGTATGTTAGGCCACAAATTCTCGGTAGATTTTTAAAAATAAATATCATACAAAGTATCTTCTCTAACCACAATGGGGTGAAGTTAGAAATCAATAACAAACAAAACTAGAAAATGCACAAAATTGTGGAAATTAAACAACTTTCAAACAAGCAGATGAAAGAAAACAATCACAAGGGAAATTAGAAAATACTTAGAGACAAATGAAACAAAAATACAACATACCAAAACTTATGGGATGCAGCAAAAGTGATGCTAAAGGGAAAATTTAGAGCTATAAATTTTTACATTAAAAAACAAATCTCTTGCTCAAGAGTGCGAGCTGTGAGCATCAGGATTGCTGGTTCGATTCCCGGCCCGAGCTGAGCTGCCAACAGGTGGCAGGGTAACTCAGCTATAAAAAAAAAAAAATCTCTTTGGGCAAGGGCAACAGAAGCAAAAATAAACAAACGGGAATACATAAAACTAAAAAGTTTTGCACAGTGAAGGTAACCATGAACAAAACGAAAAGGCAACCTACTGAATGGGAGATGATATTTGCAAATGATATATTTGATAAAAACACCCAAAATATATGCAGAATTCATACTGCAAAACATAAAAAAAATACAATTAAAAAATGGGCAGAGGACCTGAACAGACACTTCTCCAAAGAAGACATACAGATGGCCAACAGACCATGAAAAGATGCTCAACATCACTAATCATCAGAGAAATGCAATCAAAACCACAATGAGATATCCCTTCATACTTGTCAGATGGTTATTATCAAAAGACAACAAATAAGTGATGACAAGGACATGAAGAAAAGGCAACCCTTGTGCATTGTTGATGGGAATATAAAATGGTGCAGACATTTATAAAAAGCAGTGTGGAAGTTCCTCAAAAAATTAACAATATAACTACCATACAACCCAGCAATTCCACTTCTGGGTATTTATCTGAAAAAAAAAATGATAACACTAATTCAAAAAGATATATGCACTCCTCCATTCACTGCAGCATTAGTTACAATACCCAAGATATGGAAGGAACCCAAGTGTCCATTGATAGATGAGTGGATAAAGAAAATGTGGTACATATATACGACGGAATATTGCTCAGCCTTAAAAAAAGAATGAAATTTTGCAATTTGCAACAACATAGATGGACCTAGAGGGTATTGCGTTAAGTGAAATGAGTCAGACAGAGAAAGACAAATCCTGTATTATTTCACTTATATTTGGAATTTAAAAATCAAAACAAACAAAACAGACTCAGAACAAACTGATGGTTGCCAGAGTGGAGGAGGGTGGGGGATGGGTGAAAAGGTAAAGGGAATTAAGAGGCATAAACTTCCAGTTATAAAATAAATAAGTCACAGAGTTGTAATGTACAGCAGAGGGAATATAGTCAATAATATCATAACTTTGTTATTATGGGATAGATGGTTACTAGACTTATCGCAGCGATCATTTTGTAAGGTATATAATGTCAAATCACTATGTTGTACACCTATATACACTAATATAATATTGTATGTCAGCTATACTTTAATTAAAAAATATCAAATCAACAACCTAACTAAAGTTAACTAAGGAACTTAAGGAACTAGAAAAAAAATTAAACCCAAAGCTAGCAGAAGGGAGATAAATAAAATAGAGAAGAGAAAAACAATAGAAAAAAATCAATGAACCCAAATGTTGGTTCCTTGAAAAGATCAACAAAATTCACAAACCTTTAGCTAGATGGACTAAGAAAAAAGAGAGAAGACTGAAATTACTAAAAGCAAACAAGGGCCGAGTGGCTCAGTTGATAAAGAGCTCGCTCAAGAGTGCAAGCTCTGAGAAACAGACATTCACGGCCTGAGCTGAGCTGCCACTGAGCTGCCAACAGGTGGCAGGATGGCTCAGCTAAATAAATAAATAAATAAATAAATAAATAAATAAATAAAATAAAATAAAACGAAAGTGGGGACATAACTACCAGTTGTACAGAAATAAAGAGTTCTAAGACAGTATTTTGAACAATTGCATTCCAAATTGGATAACCTAGATTAAATGGACAAATTCCTAGAAATACAAAACCTACCAAGACTAAATAAATCACAGAGAAATAGAATATCTGAATAGACCTATAACTAGTAAGGTGATTTCATTAGTAATAAAAAATCTACCCAACAAAGAAAATCACTAGACCTGATGGTTTCACTGGTGAATTCAACCACATTTTTAAAGTAGTACCAATCCTTTTCAAACTTTTCCAAAAAATTGAAGAGGAGGGAACACTTTCTAACTCATTTTACAAGGACAGGATTACCCTAATACCAAAGCCAGACAAAGACACTATGAGAAAGGAAAACTACACACCAATATCACTTATGAACATCGATGCAAAAATCCTCAACAAAATACTAACAAAATCAGCAACTTATTAAAAGAATTACACACAAGATCAAGTGGGATTTATTCCTGCAAAGCAAGGATGGTACACCATATGAAAATCAATCAATATAATACACCTTATCAACAAAATGAAGGGCAAAAACACATGAGCATCTCAATGTAGGAAAGAAATTGACAATATTCAACATTCTTTCAAGATAAAAAACACTGAACAAATTAGCAATAGAAGGAAACTACCTCAACATAATAAAGAGGGCCTTCTTAATTATATCCCCCTCCACTCACATGGAAATGAGTTTGGATTTTCTGAGCACACACCAGCTGGCTGGGGGGAGGCAGCCCAGAAGGCTGCTGGCTGGGGAAGGGGGAGAAGAGAGAAGGGAGGGGAGGGAGCCAGGCCAAGATGACAAATTATCAGCGTTCTCACAGCAGAGCAATTACGGGGCGCCAGTGCTCCCCACAGTTCATCCACCCTCTGCCCCACCTCTCCCTTAGGAGAAAGCGTCTTGCTCCTGCTTATAGGCTCGTAGTGGCGTCCCCTCAGGCCAGCCTGTGCTCTGAGAACCACGGCCTTCAGGGTCCAAACCACTGAGCTGGCCATCAGCGAGGCTGCTTGATGGTAGACTTGCCTGTACCCTCCAAGGAGTCCTCCCCGACTTCCTAGGCCAAGCCTCTCATGGGCTGGGGGAAGTGGATCTGAGGCCCTGAGAGGGCACCGGGACTGCCGCGGACGACAGAAGACCACCGGTCAGCCTCGTCCCTGTCCGCCCGGGTTCTCCCGTGGAATTGCCCGGGAAGGGATGGCGAAGGTTCCCCTTGCGTCCGGGCACTGCGCCCCCCTTGGGCAGCGGGGAGGCAAGAAAGGCTGCGAGGGGCGGGGGAGGGGCGGGGTGGGGTCAGGCGTTTGACTCCGCCTCTTCGCGCTGGTATCAAGCCCGCGGACGGGTGCTGGCTCAGTCTGGGCTGCTCGCCGCTGTCGCTCCGGGGCCGCGGGATGACACCGCCTCCGCCCGTATGCGCCGCCCTCGGCATCCCGCGCGCCCGCCTCCCCAGCCCGCGGGCTCGTTCTGGGCTCCCGCTGCGGCTGCTACTGCTGCTGCTCGGGGTGGCCGCCACCACCCAAGGCCACCCGAAGAGCGGACCTCGCATCTCCGCTATCTGGAAAGGTAGGTGGCGCCGCGCAGCTGGCGGGGCGCGGGATCTGACGCCGCGCGGGGCGGGTGCGGAGTGTGAGGCACGGAGGGAGTGCGTGCAAGCGGCTCTGCGGGTCCCGGGCTGTCCTTGCGGGGAGCGTGCGGGTCTGGGTGAGTGTGAGTGTGCGCGCTGGCACGCCGGAGCGGCTGGAACGCTGCGGAGAGCGAGCGGCCGGGCCGGAGCCCCGGCTAAGTCTCTCTTCGCAGGGGCCAGCTCGTACCGGGACATGCCAGGTGGGTTCCAAGAGAACGCCATGCCGGGTCCCCCAGGAACAACTTTGCTCAGCAGCCATGTATATAAATATACATGGTTGGCAGAGGGTGTTCCTCGGAAACAGTTTGAGTCATGGGAGTTACTGCATCTGCCCTGTAGTTGTCCTCCTAACATAGGAACAGGTGAAATCGCAGAGATCTGAGCTGAGATCCTTGAGCTCTGCCTGTGTCTTTCCGTTCTTCCTCCTGAAATCTGTTCTCTGTCCAACAGGTGGCTTCCTGTTTGAGGGACTCTCTGATGAAGAGGATGACTTTCACCCAGTAAGCAGCCTGGCTGCCTGCCCTGTAGGGAACACGGTGCCAGGGATGCTTCCCTCCCAGGGACCTGGCGCGCCCAAGCTGGGAGGTGGGCACAGGCTGTGTCATACCGTTGCTTTCTGTACCTGGCAGCCAGGGAGTCTCCCCAAGAACTGTAGCTGGGGTGGGGGCGGGGTCACCTGGGTCCATCACAGGGCTACTTCCTTGACTCTGGGGCCTCCCTTCTCCAGAGCACCAGGTCCACGCCCTCTAGCAGCACCCCCAGCTCCCGCCCAGCATCCCTGGGGTACAGTGGAGCTGCCGGACCCAGGCCCATCACCCAGAGCGAGCTGGCCACTGCCCTGGCACTGGCCAGCACGCCGGAGAGCAGCTCTCACACGCCTACTCCTGGCACCCAGGTATGGAGACAGGGCTG